TCTATCTATCTATCTATCTATCTATCTATCTATCTATCTATCTATCTATCTATCTATCTATCTATCTATCTATCTATCTACCTATCTATCTACCCACTCATCCATCCATCCATCCATCCATCCATCCATCCATCCATCCATCCATCCATCTCTACACACACAGTCATCCCTTGTTTATTGTGGGTCTTACGTTACATTACAGAAACCACTGTGATAAGTGAAAAACAGAAAAGTAGGAACGCTATATCTATTTTATATATATTTTAAGGCTTTATAAACCCTTCCCACATTCTTGCAATGTTCTAAACTCTTAAACATTTTTTTTTTTAATAAAAATTTATATGGGTACCCTCCAGCTCTGCAGACCAGCAGTTCTGTTCCGGTTCTGCAGACCAACCCTGCAGTGACGAAGCCCACCGCCCCGTCCAGGTTGATATTTGCATGATTGAGCTTCAGGAAACTTCAGGATTATTTGCGACTTTCCTGTCAGTTCTGTGAGATTAATAAATAGATCGTTACTTCTGACTTTGCATTGCTAAACTATCACTCCATTTCGGCAGAAAGCAGTGTCTGGAAGCACTTTTGGCTTCTAGGTTATTTTGTTCTTTTGACTTGTGTTACAATATAGTCTTTTAAAAAAAAAAATTAAAACCCCCTACAAAATGGCAACACCTGTCTGAAGTTTTTTTGTTAATCTTTTTTCCCGTATCGTCCCAATCACGTGAGTAAGATCAAAGTTGACAATCATGTGTTGTATACAATCTTGCGTTGAAAAACCACGAAAGAGCAAGAAAGTTGAACCGCTAACTAGCGAGGGACCACTGTATATATATATATTATTTTTGTTTCTGTAAAGTGCCCTGAGACAACTTCTGTTGTGATTTGGCACTATATAAACAAACTGAATGGAACTGAAATGTATTTATTTATTTATTTTACAGATTCATCCAGGGGAATCCCTTGTTATCAGAGTGTGAAAACCAGATTATTTTCTATCACGATCTGGAGCGTGAATTAAACTCTGAGCCAGAGTACATCACCGTGGGACCCTTGGCTTTATTCACAGGTAAGGTTAAATTCTGAATATTGTAAATTTGACAAAGTGAAACTGATCTCAATATAAATATGATCTAATCTCTGTACTCACTCGTGCATTTGTCTTTGTTCAAGCTTATTTAAAGATGTCTCTGACAGCCGAAACTAAGAACTGGATGGTGGGCTACGGTCTCTACTGTAACAGGAAGTACCACTCCGACATGGAGCAGATCTTTGCTTTTATTGATGAAGCAGGAAAAAAACTGAACCGACAGATCAAAGACCTGGACGACATCCGCATCGCTATGGCTGCACTCAAGGAGATCAGAGAGCATCAGATCGAGTTTGACTTTTTAGTCGGGCCAATTGAGGTAAACCAAACATCAATTATTTATTTATTCTTTTTATCATTTGGTAGCTTTTGATATTTAATTAAATATTACACAGAGTGTAAAGGAGTTTAGGAAACAAAAGAAATAAAGCTCTATAGTAGATCTTTGAATGCATTCGGTGTGTAATAAAAGAGAGAAAACTGTCTTGTTGTGCACTAATCTCAGCTGCTACTTTATGATTGCAAGTCATGAAGTAGTATGTGTGACTTGTTATGATTGCAAGTCCTAGCATGACTTGCAATCCCCGCCTCCTTTCACCCGAGTCCTGCAGCTGGAAAACCCACTAACGAAATAAGGGCTTCAGTCACAGCAACATGCTGCTGCCACTTCTCTGCTAGTTGTGAGTTTAGTTCATTGGCTCCAATGGATCATTGTGGAAGAGAATGCACACATTCTGCCAGTAAAGCTGAGCTCACTCGTGATTGTAGTTTCCACTTTAATAATCCTTTCAAAATAAGATACAATAGCAGAAACAGAGAAGGTGGGCAGTAGACAAAAAAAAAACCACCAACAAAAAAAAAAAAACAGCCGTAATAATTTTTCAAGTTTTCCCATTTAAACTTGACAAATTGTGAAAATAAAAAATGCCCCAAACCAGAAATGTGCGTACACATTTTTCTTGTTAGGAGTGATTCACAGTTTTCAACATTTTTACAAACATACAAACAGTATGCTTGGTGGGAGCAGGTCAAGGAGTGGTGTATGCTTTTCAAAGTGACAATGACATTGACCCTTTTTTGATACTCCCTTTATAACCGACATGCTATTCTCTCGCATGGCAAATATTGACACATCACCTGGTGTACGGTGGGCCCGGGTGCAATCAGTGTTCCCAGCTGAGCGAGTAGCAGCTCAGCTGTGCGCTCCTCTCCTCTCTATCTCAAAGCGCTCAGAGCAGAGACACAGCAAACAAACTATGCAAGCACAGGGCCATCACTGATTTTGCACTCATGACATGACAGACATGTCCAATTTTCGCGCATGTGAGCTAACGTCTGGTCGAGAGAGAGAAAGAGAGAGAGAGAGAGAGAGAGAGAGAGAATGCCACCATGAGAGCACGCAGCCTGTTTGAGTGTCTTTGATACTTGTGTTTTTGCGTCTTTAATTCCTATAATTAAACAATATTAACACTAAAATATGACAATTTGTGGGCCCAAGCTTACAGCGAAGATGTATCTCCATTTAATATTATTTTATTTTCCCCCTAACTCACAAAGTACTCTCTGTGAGAGAGTCAGTTTCAAATGTGTTTAGTTTACCATAAAAATCTGTACGTCTAAATCTGTATGTATTAAACTATTTATTGATGTGTATAAACGTGGAAGGACATGTTGTACTAATGCAAAAGGTAAAGTACCTTAAAAGAGTGTGATTTTGTAAGCTTGTGAAAATGATGAAAATTGTGAACCACCTGTTTGTGTCATTATCTTTAAGGGTTTATAGAAGACTTTTTTTTTTTTTTTGGCTTACCAAACTTCAGTGTTTTTGTTATCTGTTTTTGTGCCACCCATTGAAAGGAGATGTAGTGTGGTAAAGTTTATGTCCATACGTACTTTCTTACGTCTGTGTACTTTCTCTTGTCCCGCCCATAACTTCTGATCCTCTCAAGATAACCCTAAGATATGAAACTTCATAAACATATACATGGAGGGTTGTACCTGTATACACTTTTCATCACCTCAGGTCAAATCAAGGTCAAAGGTCATACAAGGTCTTGGCTTGCCATTGCTATAGATTGCTGTTTAATAGTTTGTTGACGAATGTATAATGTACTCTTCTTTGTTAACTCTATTTACTGTACGTCAGTAATTTTCTTTTTGCTTAAAGCAATCAGTGTTGTTGCATCTTCAACTGTAAAACTTCCACATTTGATATTTTTGATTCAGTTCTAATATAAATATATGAATCAATATTTGTTCTTTACATGTCAGTTGGAACATTTTCTCCTCCTCTCAGGAGTCCTATGCCATGCTTCATAAACACGAGCTGTCGGTGGCCAAAGAAGAGGTTGATAAGGTGGACACTCTGCGTTACACCTGGGAAAAGCTGCTGTCCCGGACCGTGGAGGTGCAGAATGAGCTAGATGCCCTGCAGCCACACTTCAGAGAAGAGCTGGTTAACAACATGAAGACTTTTCAAGAGGACTGCCACTACTTTTACCAGGATTATGAGAAGGTAAAAAAAAAAAAAAAAAAAACTGAAATGGCAAAACTTTGTGTGTCCATTCAAACCATTTGTTTAAATAATTCTACAACAGAACACATTTTTTTTCTCTCTCTGCTTCAGGATGGGCCCATGGTGGTGGGGCTAGCTCCTCAGGATGCCAGTGACAGACTGATCATGTTCCAGGTCAACAGTGCACAATTTCAGCTTGATGTAACTGAGCCAGTAAAGGGTTTATGTCTGTTTGGTTTACTAAAACTGACAGATCTGCTGCTGTCAAAACAGTTCTTGGAGAATTTAGATTTAGCAAAACTCTAAAAAAAAAAAAAAAATCTTGTAAGATAATTTATGTAACATTTGGTGTCATAAAGTGAGTGAATGGGTTTTGTTGCTGTTGTCGCTTTCAGAATCGATTTGACAACCTGTTCAGGAAGTATATCACCTACACAGGAGGAGAGGAGCTGTTTAGACTTCCTGTTACCCAGCATCCTCAGCTGCTGGACATCAAAAAACAGCTTGCCTTGCTGCAGAAGCTGTATGGCCTTTACAACAACGTCATCGAAACAGTCAATGGTTATTACGACATCCTCTGGGCCGACATCAACATCGAAAGAGTCAACAATGAGCTGCTAGACTTTCAGACCAGGTTAGAAATGTATTTCTTTCATTTTGTCTTAAAATTGTATTGGAAAAAGCCCAGTATTGAATGTTTTAGTCCCTTTTCTGCTGATCTGATGTTCAATTTGTTGGTTACAAAACAAAACAAAAGTTGTTGTTTTTTTGTTTAAATAGAGAACACTTGGTATTCAAGCTGCCATGTTGTAAAGTTGTAGAATTATCTGAAGAAAAATATGTATGTAACTTCAGAAAAGGACAAATTGAAAAGATGGTTTTAGCAACCTCTGTTGTGCTTTTATTAAAATTCTTCCCGCAGTAATAATTTTAAATATTGTTTTTCAATATTGCCCTTTTTCTGTGGAGTGGACTTTTAGGTGCTTCATTCTTTTTCCTGCTCAGACTGGTTCAGTCTATCCAGGATGAAATAGTTTGTTCAAAGCGCCACTGTATCCACAGTGGTTTTAACATTTCCACCAAACGCATTTTAAGAGCTCAACTATTGCTTTCTTTGTACAGTTGTACACCTGTGTTGATGCATACGCTTGTGTGAACTAGTTTAATTTACAGGATTTAACTTTTTTCTTAAGGAGGCATACATATGTGGAAGGTATCATTTATTTAACATGGTCAAATAAATTTAAATCATAAAATTTTTTAAAACTGGTCATTTACTCAAATTGTATATTCAGTTTTATCTTCCTGCAACCAATATTACAACAGATACACACAATCATGATCCAAATAGTTTTTTTTTTTACTTCAGACTTCTCTTTCTTTCATGCAGCTCTGCCACAGTTGATTATGTTTGTGCACCTAACAGAAAGCACATTTGAAATTTTGTTGATTTTTTCCTTTCTCAGAATTCTTGTGTGTATTGTTTTTGTTGTTGGTTACTCAAAAAGTGGTTTTAGCTTTTTCTAGCTTTTTCTAAGACCAAACTGTTGAATGAATTAACTACATATAAAATATTTAAAATTTCTCTGGTTACTAAAGGGTAGTTCACATCTTCTAGTGAGCATAAAAATGTGTCGAGTTAGAAATAAACTCTTAGCTTTAAATGTATCAACTAAAGCATTCTTTAAACTAAAAGATGTCGCAAGTTGCCTCGAGCTCTGAAGGAGTGGCAAGCCTTCCTGGACCTGAAGAAGACCATCGATGAATTCAGCGAGTGCTGTCCCCTGCTGGAGCTCATGACTAATAAAGCTATGATGATGCGCCACTGGAAGAGAATAACCGAGGTCGGTAAAACACAGAGCACCTGTTGACACCTGGCTCCATGTTAAATAAAGTCATCACTGCATCAACATTTGTTCAGGCAAACTGATTTATCAGATTTTTGTGTCCAGGTTACAAACCACACCTATGAGGTGGAAACTGATACATTCAAGCTGAGGAACATTATGGAAGCTCCTCTGCTCAAGTTCAAAGAAGAGATTGAGGTATGAATAAAGAATAAAGTGCATTACTTTTGCATAAAAATGGTAGAGTTGGTGTTAATTCTAAGCTTTGAACCATGTATTTGAACCATGTTTGAGCGCTGAAAGTTTTAACATGCGCTTCAGAGACTTTTAAAAACATCACCTCTGTGCACACAGTATTTATTGAGGACTTTCTCTAATCCACACAGAGTCAAGATTATGCATGCAGAGTCAAATGTATACTGTTGCCTTCCTAAGATTTGATTAGCAAGCTGCATCTTGACTATCCTTTTTGTGGCAATGAACAAGCTTGTATTTTAAATATGACTGAATATTTGACCACTGTTCTTGACAGAACTGGTGAAGTCCTTTTAAAGTGGTTGGTTTCCTGACAGAAACACAACTTTTAGGTATAGTACATACACTTTTATTAAGGTTGATTATTGCACTGTTGTGATACATAATTGTGTCCAAGTTTTAACCACACAGTTGATCTGAGGAGAGGTTGAAAAATTTCAACCACCTGGTGCAATGCACCAGCAGCACAGCATGATGCTACCCCCACCATGCTTTACAGTTGGTGTTCTTAGGTTTTAAGGCCTTGTGTTGACTCTTCCAAACTTACTTTTGTGGCCACATAGTCTTTGTCTTGTTTGACTATGAAAAGACTTCGGATGGGACTTGTGTTGTGCATGAAGTCACCTGGAAGTTTGAAAGTTGTTTTTGGAACATGAAGTTTTTTCCTGCATCAACACTCTCTCAGTCCACGAGGATGTGAAACTTGGACAGGACGGTACCTGGAGTTTTAACAGTTTAGTTTATCAGCGACTTGAGTTTTGAAGGAATGCATTACATACTTACATTTTAACATTTTTAACCCTACATTTAAGGTTATAAAGTTATACTGTACAAGTGCAACTTGCGAAACTTTGGTCGCATCTCATTTAGTCGATACAGTATTTTTCATTCTTCAGCTCAAATCAAACTATTACACAAACAAAGATGAGAAAAGTTATTGTAGGCAGTCCTCCATAAATATATTGTACCTACCGTATTTTCCGCCGTACACGTCGCTCTGCCCTATAAGTCGCATCAGTCCATATTTGTCTAATAAAGTGGAAAAACCCATAAATATGTTGCTTCGCCGTATACGTCGCATCTATTATGCGTCACCGGTGACGCGTCGCGTTTGTTATGACAACCCGGAAATGTGGGCTGCTGGTGTGCCAAAAATCGATGGACTGCCAAATGGCGGCCGCAAGAGCGTGCACAGGAGACTTTAACAAGAATTTAACAAGGTTAACACTTAAAAACAATTATTTGTTTGCTCAAAATTATAGTAAAGGTGTGTCTCAGCCTAACCTTTGCTTAATAAATGCACTTTGATGGTCAAATCAGCTGTATTTCAAACCTATACACGGAAGTATACGTGTGCTTGCGACGAGTTGCTGTGCATATTTAACAAGATAAACGCCTTAAAACAATTTTTGTTTGTTTGAAATTATAGTAAATGTGTGTCTCTGTCTAACGTTTGCTTAATAAATGCACTTTAATGGTCAAATCAGGTGACTTTCAAAAATAGTTTTGCTACCTCTGTGCTCCCGGGCGCGCGCAGAGCGAGGACAAAAGGAGAACGAATGCAGCTCGTTTCTTCGAAATTTCACAAGAGAAGCACCTAAGCAATTATTTGTTTGCTCAAAAGTATAGTGTAGTGTGCTAAGGGCTAGGTTAGCTGCCCTTGACTACTAATTATTTAGATATAACACACTACAATAGCAAAGGTGTGTCTCAGTCTAATGTTTGCTTAATAAATGCACTTTGATGGTCAAATTAGCTGCATTTCGCCGGGGCGGTGCAGCTGGTTTGACAGTCAATCCAAGCAGCGAACAGAACCAAGGTGGGGAGACTGTGGCAAGCCAACTGTGTCATTAAAAGCTGGTGAAGATTCTCAGTCATCCAGGACATGGTAAATTCAAAACAATTCAAGAAAAAAAAAACAATAAAGTATAATAAATGAAGTCCCGTTGTTTTGTCTTGAACTTTTTTGAATTTGTCATTATAGCCACGTTAAACTATTAAATGATACAACAGTATGCCAAACAGCTACTACTACTCTGCTGCCATCAAGTGGCTGAAAGTGGTACTACTTTAGAAAAATCAGTCAGAATGAATGGAAACGGTCATATCTCAGCCAAAAATTGGTTTATAAATATGGGAAAAAATCCATAAATATGTTGCTTCAGCCTATAAGTCACAGGGCATGTAAATTATTTACAAAAAGTGTGACTTTAAGCGGAAAATACGGTACTTGTTATGGTTCATCCATCCGTCCATCCGTCCGTCCGTCCATTATCTTTACTCACTTCTTTATTTTCGGGGTCACTGGATTGGAGCCCATATCCAGCTATCATTGTGTGAGAGGCGGGGGACACCCTGGACAGGTCGCCAGTCCATCACAGAGACACAGAGACAAACAAGACAAACAAACATTCGCTCTCTCACTCACACCTTGGGACAATTTAGAGTTACCAATCAGCCTAACATGCATGTTTGTGGTCTGTGGGAGGAAACTGGAGTACCCGGTGAAAACTTACGCATGCACTGAGAAAAAATTCAAACTCCACCCAGAAAGGTCTCGGGCCGGGATTTGAACCGCTGACCTTCTTGCTGAGAGGCAACAATTCTACCAATTGCACGACTATGCCGCCTGTTATGGTTCAACTCTAAGAATTTTAAGGTTTTCAACTCAAGGTTTACATGTAGATTTCACTCTTTGATGGCAGATATTTTTACTTTGATTTAATATCCATATTTGTTTGCTTATGTGGCAGGAATTCTGACTTTCAAAAGCCCAGAAAGCGGAATTATTATTATTTTCATTGAGAGAAATGATATTTCCTACTAACTCCAGTTAAGACTCTGGCAGCAGCATTTTGGATCAACTGAAGACTTTTTTTTAATTTTTTTATTATTTTTTTTTTTTTTAATTTAGCCTTTATGTATACAGGTAGTCTCATTGAGCCACGAGAACTCATTTTCAAGGGAGACCTTTTTAGGGAGCACATGGTGGGGTTAAGGGCCTTGCATGGGCCCAGGGTGGGGCGAATGAGGGTGGGGGCAAGTGTGGGTGTTTCACCTACCCCACCCACAATTTTGATGTTGTCGGGGCCGCGGTGTGAACCGGCGATCTTCGATTCACTGGCCCACCTCTCTAACCTCTGCGCCACCACTCCCCTATATCAACTGAAGACTTTTTAAAGAAGTTTTTGTACACCCAGATAACAAACCATTGCAATAGTCCAGTCTAGATGAGACAAATGCACAAACAAGTTTTTCTGCATCATTTTTAGATAAGATGTTTCTAATTTTAACGATATTACACAGGTGAAAGAAAGCAGTTCTAGTAACATTTTTATTGTGGGGGATAAAAGACATGTCCTGAGCAAAAATAATCTAGATTAATGCCATCCAAGGAGGACGAAAGACTGAAAAATTTATTCCTAAAATACTCAGGTCCAAAAACTAAAACCTCAGTCTTGTCTGTATTCAAAAGCAGAACATTTAGGATCATCCAGGTTTTTATGTCTTTAAGACATGCTTGTAGTCTAAGTAGCTAATTAGATTCATTGGGTTTCGTGGACAAATATAACTGTGTATCATCAGCATAACAGTGAAAATTGATCCCATATCGTTTAATAGCATTACCCAATGGAAGCATATATAAGGTAAAGAGTATTGGTTCAAGCAATGAACCCTGAGGAACTCATGCGATGTGTCAAACCAAATTTCTATAGGGATCTTTTTTATGCTACACACCAAAATGAAAGTCTGTATATCACTTGTGTTTCAAATTATAGTGTTCACAAGGCAGAAGGATGGAGGGTATTTCTAATTCTCCCTGTTTTGCTCTGTGACGAGAGACAACAACATAAAACACGCCTCAAAAATCATCAATCTCAATCCTGTGTAAACTAAAAAAAATCCCTTTAAATAAAACTAACCAAAACTAAACTAACTAAATTCAATTCAAATTCAATTAAAAAAAACTTTATTAATCCCAAAGAGAAATTAAGTGTTGTCATAACTCATCATCCTGGTTCCATTCAAGAGTTATAGATGCTGATAGATGTGGGCAGGAAGGATCTCCTGCAGCGAATCCAAAAAATCTGGCCACAGATATCGATCCGTCCACCCAGATCCAGCTTGCTGTCAGATCCGGCGGGTCTCGCGATCCTCCTGGGCAACAGGACTGCCTGAATGCCGGGCAGAATTCCTCCTTGAGCAATGGTCACTCCTCCCAGCAGTGTACCAAACTCCTCGTCACCACGGACAGACAGCTGAAAGTGCCAGGGGATGATCCCGGTCCTCCCATTGTCACGAGATGTTTTCCACCAGCTCCAGGATTTTGGTGGTCAGGTTCTCAAGCGCCGCCACCAGGTTGATGGGAAATGGTCCATGGCGCCTCCTTTTCAACTCATTTGGAATTTGGGGCTGTAGTTGAGGTATTTAAGCTTTTGAGATGTTGATCAGTTGCTCCTGGTCATTAAAAACACCTTGTTGTCATGGTTACGCATCATAACAATTGCACAAAAGTAAAAAGTTTTCAGTAAAAATCCTTCCAGCTGCACAACATCTGACACCAGAAGAAATAATCATCTAAAAAAAAGCAATTTACATCGTGAAAATAGAGGAGTTAAAGTTTTCAAAAGCAATAACTCAGAATGAAAGTAACAGAGCTATTCCAACATGCAGCCACCATGAGCGGTGCAATTCTAGAGCTAAACTAAAAAACTAAACTAAAAAGTTTTTTTTTGGTCAGGTGTGGTCACACTAATCAATGACAGCATAAAATGCATGTACAGTAAGTTATCTAAGAGGCGCTGTTATTCTCGCTGAAAGAAAACTGTTGAATCAGCAAACTATTTTAGGTGCCGTACTGTATTTGCACTCTTTCATACTTAGGGCTTATGGTGCAAATTAAAATGTTTCCTTAAAGTGAGGTTGTTGAAAGAGCTGTGTAAAACCACTAAACTTTTTTTTTTTTTTAAATATCTGAACTTTTTCTTTATGAAAAAACACTTATGAGATGAAATGATGTTTGTTTTTTGTGTTTTACATTTTCTTGGCAATATTTTCTTTGTGCTGTTGTCCTAATGACTTTGGGTCTGTATTGTTTTAAAGGACATCTGCATTAGTGCTGTAAAAGAACGAGACATCGAGCAGAAACTAAAACAAGTGATTGCTGAGTGGGACAACAAGACCTTTACGTTCACAAACTTCAAAACCCGAGGAGAGCTGCTGCTGAGAGGAGACAGCACGTCAGAGATCATTGCCAGCATGGAGGACAGCCTAATGATTCTGGGCTCTCTGATGAGCAACAGGTAAGTCTGTGTGGATTTTCATAATTGCTGTTTGGGATATGATGAGAGGAATAAAATTAAAAGGTTCTGGCCCTGAAGGCTTGAGAAGTGAAATTGGATTTCCTTCTGAACTCAACAGCAGCCAGAGTTACGGATCACATTTTCATGCAGATTTCCCTTCCCCTTCAGGTACAACACCCCATTTAAAGCCCAGATACAGAAGTGGGTTCAGAACCTCTCCAACACCACTGATATTATTGAACACTGGATGACCGTTCAGAACCTGTGGATCTATCTGGAAGCTGTCTTTGTGGGGGGAGACATTGCCAAACAGCTGCCTAAGGTAAAAAGTTACAGTTGTTATATCCATCATCTGGTTTGGGGAGAGGTGGTGGGGTGGGGGTGGGGGGGTGTAGCAGCTTGAGCAGGGAGGTCAAGACATCTCTTTCCGCAGCCACCTCTTCCAGCTCTTCTGGGAGGATTCCAAGACGTTCCCAGACAGACCATCCTATAGAGCAGTGGTCCACAATCCAAACGGTACCGGGCCGCACAAGAAATAATTAAATATTTCCGTTTATGTATTATCTGAGTCTGAACGATCTTTTATTTTGAAAAATGACCGGTTATGTCTTGAGCGCCAACAATGAACCCACAAGCTAGCAAAATGAGTCGTTATCGTGAGTTAAAATTTTCCTGAAAATAAAATGTTATTTATATTTGTTTTTGTGGCGTATCTGTATCTTAATTTGAACGAATGTTTAAACGTTACCATAGCGACCAGAGTCAGAGAGCGTTAGGGCAGTGGTCGAGAGGAGAGGAGTAGAGCTTGTGAGTCTTAGCGGGCACACCAACATGCAGAAGCCTTTTCTGACGATTCAACCACCCAGGGCCGCAGTAAAATTGTGACCGGTCCGCGGTGATAAAAATGTTGGGGACCACTGTTATAGAGACATAGGCTCTCTTGTGTGTCTTGGGTCTTCCTCTGGGTCTCCTCCTAGTCGGACATGCCTGGAACACCTCCCTAGGGAGGTATCCAGGAGTCCATCCTTACCAGATGTCTGAACCACCCCAGCTGACTCCTCTAGATGTGGAGGAGCAGCGGCTCTACTCTGAGTCTCTCCTGATAACTGAACTTCTCACCCTATCTCTAAGGGAGAGTCCAGCTTCTCTGACCTCCTGTATCCATTATCTCATTCTTTCAGTCACTACCCACAGTTCATGACCATAGATGAGGGCAGGAACATAGACCGACCAGTAAACAGAGAGCTTCTCCTTGCATCTCAGCTCCCGCTTCACCACAATGGACCGGCACAGAGTCCACAATATTGTAGAAGCTGCACTGATCATTCTGTCGATTTGATGCTCCATTCCTCCCACATTGTGAACAAAACCCTGAGATACTTGAACTCCTCCACTTGAGGCAGAAACTCACCGCCAGCCTGGAGAAGACAGTCCACCCTTTTCCGACTGAGGACCATCGCTTCAGATTTGGAGGTGCTGATCCTCATCCCAGCTGCTTCACACTCAGCTGTGAACCACTCCATTGACAACTGAAGATCACGGCATGATGACGCCAACAAGACTACATCATCTGCAAATAGCAGAGATGGAATCCTGAGGCCACTGAACTGGACTTCCTCTGCCCCCTCACATCACAGTTACAGTTAATACACAAGGTTCAGAAATCTGAAGAATAACAAAAAATAAATGGTAAATGGACTGTACTTATACTGTATAGCGCCTTTCTATATTATTTCAAGATACTCAAAGTGCTTTACACTACAATCTGTGCCTCATTTACCCATTCATACAACACTATACTAGATCTCTACAAAGCTAATTGAACAAATCATTCTAAAGAGTCTAATCAGTGCTTTAGATCACATTCATACACTAATGGGACACACATCGAGGCTATGAGGGGTTCAGTGTCTTTCCCAGGGACACTTCGACATGTGACTGCTGGTGGATTCGAACCCCCAACTCTCGCATTGGAGGACGACTGCTCTAACCACTCAGCCACAGCCGCCCAAGTTAGAGAGCATTTAGAACAAAAATTCCCTCTGAATTCATGTAATATTTTCTTTGTTTGAGGCAAACATGCTAACATTTCTTTTAAATTTCCTTTTTTTATGGATTTCAGCCATGTGCCCTTAACATTTTGGATTAGTATTCAGTATTTACTGACAGTTTATTTTGTTCTTTTTATTTTGTTCTCATAAACCAAATACCTGACATTTAAATCTGTTTTTACCAAGTACAGATGAAAATGAATATGAAGAATGTTTCCATCTTTAGGAAGCAAAGCGCTTCTCCAACATTGATAAGTCGTGGGTGAAAATCATGATGCGAGCCCATGAGATGCCGAATGTCATTCAGTCCTGTGTGGGAGATGAAACCATGGGGCAGCTGCTTCCTCACCTGCTGGAGCAGTTAGAGATTTGCCAGAAGTCACTCACAGGGTAAGCGCAAATCCTGTCCAAACGCAGAGTAACACAATGGTTTGACTCCTCAATAATTAAAAATGAATGAAGACCAGCTGAAAACGTCAAAAATAATTTAATGTTTAACTGCTAACGAGTTTGTATTTTCAGTTATTTGGAGAAGAAGCGACTGCTGTTTCCTCGTTTTTTCTTCGTATCGGACCCCGCCCTGCTGGAGATCCTGGGCCAGGCCTCGGACTCTCACACCATCCAGGCCTACCTGCTTAATGTTTTTGACAACATCAAGTCTGTGCGATTCCATGACAAGGTGCTTATCTTTGGTAACGTTATTATTGTTCAGTGTTTTGTGTTGCACAGCGTCTGGCAGAGTACTACTATAGAAAACATATATATTTTGTTTTTGTGGGCTTAAAAAGCCATAAGTATAAAATAAATTGTTTATGGATTTACTCCTGTTAGTTAAAATTATATGTCTATATTATATTCAATTCAAATGGAAATGAAATTAGATTTTTTTTCTTTCGGCTGCTCCCTTCTTCAGGGTGCCACAGCAAAATAACTTGCACAAAGTAAAGAGTAGATGAAAGTAGTACTCACAAAGTAGAGAAATGGCATAACCTGTGGAAATGCAGTGTGAATGCTTGTTGCTGATGGATTTTGCTTAAAGCTGCTGAAGAAGCTTGAGGAAACACACCAATATTTAAAAACTTGAAAGAAGACGCTTAAATTAGCACAAAAAAGCTGAAAGTGTCAAAAAAGTAGCTAAAAGAAGATATAAAAGAGCTGAAATGAGTAGAAATAAGGTTTAAATAGCAGAAACAACGAAATGAGCAAAAAGTTGAAAAGTATAAAACAGCTGAATTAGCAGGAAAAAAGCCAACAGGGACACAAAATAGCTTAAATTAATTAAAAAAAAGAAGTTAAACAGAACAAAACCACTAAAAATCATCAGAAAGTAGCTAAAAAAGGCACAAAGAGCTGCAAGTGTGCAAAAAAAGCAAATAGGTAAAAAGAAGTTGAAAAGATCACAGAAAAGACTAAATTTGTTGAAAAATAGCCAAATAGATGAAATTAGTAGAAACATTGCTAAAATGTAACTGAGAAAGCAAGAAAACAGCTTAAATTCACTGAAAGAAGCTGACATTAGTTGAAAAAGCTAAATTGTGCTTAAAAACCTGAAACACACACACATGCACACAAAATATCAGAAAGAAGCTGAAATGAGCTGCACAAGGTTGTAAACAGCAACAAGGGCTAGATAAAGAGAGCTCCATTTATTTTTAATAAGGAAAACATGGCTGACAAGGCTAAAAATAAAAAATAAATTAAACTGCACAAATGCTAAAAGTCAATTCAATTCAGTTTATTTACATAGCACCAAGTCACAACAGAAGTCATCTCAGGGCTCTGACCAACAAAAAGTCCCAGTAGGAACGTCCTGAATGAGATGAAAACTGTGATATAGGAATTGTTGAAACAGAACAAAAACTGAGGAACGAGTTACTGTACATGCTTATAAACATACAGAAGAACATTATATATGAAAAATGAAATAATTTAGAAACATTCCCACAATGATAAGAATACTCAGATGTTATAAGAAAGTTACCACGTTTCCTCAGGTATATGACCGAATTCTTGCTGTATCATCACGGGAGGGGGAGACTGTGGCACTCGAGCGTCCGGTCACGGCAGAGGGGAACGTGGAAGTATGGCTGAATGCGCTGCTGAAGGAGTCCCAGCAGTCGCTGCACCTGGTGATCAAACAGGCGGCTTTGGCCATCCAGGACTCAGGCTTCCAGCTCACCGACTTCCTGAACTCCTTCCCTGCTCAGGTGAGTCACAACAGTTATGTAAGCAACTCCAGGAGAGCTGATAGAATGACCACAGATGACAATGATGTCATCCTAAACTCAGGTGGGCTTGCTCGGTATCCAGATGATTTGGACAACGGACTCTGAGGAGGCTCTGACCAATGCCCGCTTCGATCGCCGCATCATGGCTAAAACCAACCAGCTGTTCCTTGACCTGCTCAATACTCTGATTGACATGACCACAAGAGACCTGGAAGCTGTGGAGAGGACCAAATACGAGACTCTCATCACAATCCATGTCCATCAGAGGGACATATTTGATGACCTGGTGAGTTGGCAGAGACACAAGAGTTCAACCTTTTCAGGGTATGCTTAATTTATCAGACTTCAACTCTCAGACGGAGTGGTTGTAACAACAGAGCACCAACTGTGTTTGCATTAATAAACTATTTTTTTATGGACACTTAAAAGAAAATAATGTTAAAACAGAACGGGCTGCCTTTTAATTTTCACCACAGACACATGCTGCTGGTTTTCAAGGAAAAATGACTCAGTTGTAGTGTTTTGATTTCTTATCCTTCAAACTTTTATGCTGCTTGAAATCTTTTACTGCTCATTTCAGCTTGTTTCAGTTTTTTTCTGCTCATTGCAGCTTCCTTTAACTGCTTACAAATGCTTTCTGTTCATTTTAGCTTTTTCAGCTATTTTAGAAGTCTTTCTGCTTATTTTACCATTTTTTCTGTAATTTCTTAGCAAATTTTGGCCTTTTGTGCTTCTTTCTAGAAACGTCAACTGCTTTCAACCGCTTTCTGCTAATTTCAGCTTATTTAGCCTTTTCAGCTACTTTTTTGTTGCTAATTTTAGATTTATTTAGCCTCTATTTCAGTTTATTATGTTCTTTTCTGCTCTATTCAGGTTCATCTACACATTTCTGCTGTTTTTCTGCTACTTTGTTTTTCTGCTTTTATTTTCCTGCTTCTAGTAAATGTCAGCTGTTCAAATTCAGCTCACACGAACGATTTTATGATGAAATAGTTTCAATGGGTTTCAGCTTCTTCAGCAGAAATCGTTCAGCAATAAGCATTCACTGCATTTTCACAATAAATGACATGTCTCTAGTTTTGATTACCTTTGAGCCACTCATATTTGTCTTAATTATTGTTATTGTTTCTAGTATTTATTTTGCTCTTCATTCACTGTTTCTGAACAGCTTTTTGTCCTGCTGTCTTTATTCCAATACATTTCCTGTTGACTCTCTGCTGTCTCCTTCTATATAGCTTTAATGCATTTTCCTGTCACCTAACGTCTTAACACTTTTCCTTTCTTTCAAGCTTTTTTTTTTTCAGTTTTCTCAAATTGGTGTTCTGTTTTCTCTGTCCTCCAAGTGTCGTTTGCACATCAAAAGCCCGAACGACTTTGAGTGGCTGAAGCAGTGCCGTTTCTACTTCAATGAGGACTCAGACAAGATGGTCATAAACATCACAGATGTGGGCTTTGTTTACCAGAATGAGTTCTTGGGCTGCACAGAAAGGCTGGTCATTACACCCCTGACTGACAGGTAAAAGGCCATTCAAAGGAGGAAAGCACGCAGAATAAGAAAGCGTTCTCGTGAATCTAGATGTAAAATGCTTCATTTAAATTCAGTGTACTGAGTATTTTCACTACTAAATAATAAAAAGTAACATTAAATAATGCAACTGGTACATCCACATACTCTAAGAATGAGGCAACCTTCATCATTTATGTTCCAAAGTTTAAACAAGCAGCACGCCAATGTCTCCCATCACTGAGGAATCTGAACAGTGAATATTTGTTGCAGTGGTGGGCACAGTTAATCAAAAAGTTTGCTTTGCTAACCCATATTCCACTAACTAAAATAAATTGGCTTTGCTACCACTAAACATGGAAAAATAAACTTAGGGAATGCTGACGCTAAACCGCCAACCACTAAGATGACTGTCACTCAGTCTGCGTCACATATCTTTGTCTCCTTCCAGTTGAAGCTGCACCGACCATTCACATCTTGTCACGTGCACAGTAGTCCCTCTGTACTTTGCGGTTCGACTTTTGCGGACTCATTGTTTTGCGGGTTTTCAACTTAAGATTGTGCACGACACACGATTGGCTTGATGGAAGGTGACCAACCAGAGCATTGTGCTCTGTATCCCAGGCACTGACTGGTTCAGTAACTGTAGCATTAGTCTGTCTGCTCTCTTTTGTTGTGCTCTTTCAGAGCGTTTAGAGAGTTTAGAACATTGTTAAGAACATTTCAAGTGTGGGAAGGGTTTACAAAACCTTAAAATATGTATACATACAAAAATAAATATAATGTCCCTATTTTGCGGAATTTCACCTATCCCGGCAGTGTCCGTAACGTAACCCCTGTGATAAGTAAGGGACTACTGTACACGTAGTCAGCCAATACTGTGCCTGATGGACTCTTCAAGACATGCCCACAACAGACAGGAACACGCTTGTGAATTTTCTTTGTGAACCTAAAGTTGGCAAAATCAAATTTAGCTGAAGCTAATTCCACTAACAGTTCCCAAAGTTGGAAAAAACGCTAATCCACTAAACAAAATATTTAGCTCCACTAGTAGCTGTTAGTGGATTAGAGGAACTGTGCCCACCACTGGTTTGTAATTTTGGAGATTAGTGTTTGTCTGGACTGGAACTGAACCGAGAATGCAAGTACAGTAGTCCCTCGTTCATCACGGTGGATCTGCAACTCCAGTCCAGAAAAACACTCATCTCCAAAACCACAGATGTACACTATTCAAATCCCTCAGAGATGTAGGATATAAAATATTACCAGCAATTTTACCTGGTAGGATAATTTTGTCCATCATCCTTCTCCCCAATGTGTCTTTAAAATAATAATAATTGTTCTCCATCAGCACCAGGAGTGTGTTTGTAGATGAGCTTGACCTTCATCCACCCTCCCAGTGAAGAACGTTGCTTCAGTAATTTCTTTTTGATCTGTCACAGAAAAGCACTGTCGGATGTTTTGAGGATGTGAAAAAATAACTTTAAAGGCTTACTTTTCCACTGAAGTAAAATGTGTTTGTTAAATTTTTTAATTTGCTCAGATGTTACATCACCCTGTCCCAGGCTCTGGGTATGAGTATGGGGGGAGCTCCTGCTGGTCCAGCAGGAACAGGTAAGGCTGTAACAATAATTTATACATGTTTAATTATTTTATTCAGATTGTCTCTATAGGGCTACACACTGGTAGTGTTTTGTTTAGGATAAATAATGAGGCAGAACATTCAGATCCAACAACAATGAACAAGTTGTTCCTTTTTCTCTGTTTAAGTGATGCTAAATATTACTTTATTACAAAAGAATGAAACAATTACTTTCTTGTTGAATCATTTTTTTCATTTAACGTTAATAGAAAATATAACTGATAGTTTACAGCTAACCTTCACATACACAGTTTAAAAAAAAAGTTCTAGGGGCATTTTTTTATTTTTATCTATGAGCAAGACGTTTTCTGTTTGTAGGAAAGACTGAAACCATAAAAGACATGGGTCGCTGTCTGGGAAAATACGTTGTGGTGTTCAACTGTTCTGACCAAATGGACTTCAGAGGCTTAGGAAGAATAGTCAAAGGTAAAAAATAAATAAATATTTATATATATACAGTATATAAAGCTGCTCAATAAATGGTCCAGATAGAGAAACCAGATATAAACACTTTAACAGAAACGAAAGGTTTAACTTGTAAGTGTTCATTTGACTGAGTGGGCCCCGTTTGGTTTTCAGGTCTGGCTCAGTCTGGATCTTGGGGGTGTTTCGATGAGTTCAACCGTATCGACCTCCCCGTTCTGTCAGTGGCTGCGCAGCAGATTGCCATAGTTCTCACCTGCAAGAAGGAACGGCGCAAAACCTTTATCTTCACTGATGGAGACAATGTGGACATGAATTCTGAGTTTGGCATCTTCCTGACAATGGTCAGTGACACTATCATTTTAAAACCAGCTTTAGCTCAGCTAGGCCTAATTTTAGCACCTTGGATGATTCATTTTAGACCATCTCATTGCTTTTATTACGCCTGCATCTCAGGTTTTCTGTTTTTGAAATTTACTAATTCTAACAATTTGACATTTGACATTAATGCTGCTCTGCTTCCTGTCAGAGGCAAGCCATGTTCCTTCATGGAAAAACAAAAATATCCCCCCACAAAAACCTTACAGCCAAATATAAAGTACTACAAATTGCTTCTTTTTTTGCAGTTTTTTTATACATTTCTTTTAAAGGAAGTTGCCCAGACTGATTTTAGATGGAAAGTGTCATTACTTGTTATGATTTTTGTTTGTTTGTTTTGTTTTTATTTGGCTGGTTCGAAGAAATGTGAGGCGAATGTAGTTCTCAAACATGTACACAAAGTAATTTAAAAAAAATCCTTATTACTTGATTATCTTGTTCTGTAAGCTTGATAGAAAAATTAAGCTTACAGACCAGACAGCTTGAAGCAATCCCACAGATGAGCTGCTAAATGTACAGCAATTTTTATTATTATTATTTTTTCCTCCCTGGCTCTCGCTCGAGGTGGCTGCTTTTGTCTTTCCTCCCCCGTTTTTCCTTCCTCCTGCTTCACTCTTTGTGTCTGAAGCGCCTGGTACACATCTCCCGAATGTAAATTAAGATTATGGATCTGGTATCCTGAGCGTTTAACTCTATCGACAAGATTTTTTTTCAACAAAATGACAAAGTCCTGGAGAGCCTGGGTGTCCAGTTGAGACACACGCTGTGGGGTACGTCATTGACCCGTGGGGAGTGTGGCAGCTGATGTGCCTCTCAGTCCTGTCTCAGGAGGATGTTGAAGATGTTTACATATTTGGAATTATGATAGCAGGGACTCTGCTTTTTGGCATCGGCGGGGCTCTGTTTTATTGACTTTTGAAGAAGACATCGGCAGAAGTTTCGACCATGACAAAGCTTCCGAGTCAGTGTGAAGGTTTGGTTTGTGCTGTGAGTACTCAAAATCAGCTGATTTACGAGCTAAACCGTAAGGTGGAGGTGATTTATGAGAATCACAGGCCACCTGCGGCTTCTGGGACTTGTCAGCGTGGTGGGTTAGACATTGAGGGAGATTCATAACATGGATCAGTGGAATAGAATCCCACAATTAGGCCATTTTGGAACCAGAACGTCCAGATGGACTCAAGGCTGAAGAAGAAAAAACAATCTGTCTGCCTGAAGAAAAACAACAATCAAAGCTTATCTGAATCTGATTCCCCGATGGCCTCGGAGCCGGGCCAACTATCAAATTTCTCCTGGGTCATGGGTAACCAGGGATAAAAGCTTCATCTATTGCACCCCCTGAGAATTTCTGTGCAAGCTTATCAGAACTGCTGGCTGAACCAACATCATCAGAAACTGTGGTCGATCTGAAAAAACGCTCATGGACAAATCTCAACACCTCGACGTCAAATGCATATGTAATCATGTTTTAATTGTGCTGCTGGTAGAGTTTTTTTTATGTCTCAAATCATGTCCTAATAGACAAGATGTGAAATATCTTATTTTTTAATACCATTATCTACCCTCATGCTTCTCCTCCTTTTCCAATCTAAGATTATTTTTCTGAAAAAGGATAAGAAAGGCTGCGCTTATTTACGGTAGAACCTTCATGCACTCCATCCATCTTCTGGACGACTGCATGTACATGTTCTGTTTCGTATAGGCTTCGCCCTTTGACAAGACTGTCAACAAGGAAGAGGGCTGGCAATGGAGGAGGGGCATACCAAAAAGTCCAATTTAATCACAAGCAGAACTGGTTTGTTCCACTTTGGACTAAGCTGTTGGAGGAAGAATCAGTTTTGTTGTGTGTTTCCTTGACTG